ATTGTTTGCCAATTTTGAAATTTTTCTCCAAGGCGAAGTGAAATGACATTGGTTTTATATACATGGATACAGGCTATTTCAGCTAAGGTTTATACGATGTGACGTAAGCACTGAAATTAATGGTATGAAACTTGAGCCAGTTAAAGTAAACGTTTAATGAAAGTGTACTAGTGGCTAAAATTGAACTAATTATGTAAAACTGACTCAATGTATGGTGAACTGTAACTTGATATATGCTGGATAAAATGTAGTATATTAAGGGATACTAAATAACAAAACATGTTCCTTGTGTGAGTTGATTAAATTGTGGACTCTGCGATAAGTTGAGTTAACTTAATTTTTGTTGTTTTCAATGGCATGCGTTAACTTAAATTGTTCATGGTATGAATTAACTTAAGCTATGATAAACTGTAAGCAACTAGACGTCGATGTTATTGATACTTCTTGTTTTGTAATGTGACAAAGGTAATTATTGTAATGGGTTATTTATATATGCTTTATATGCACAAAAGCTCACAACCTACACTCAAAGAGCCTAATTTATTAGAGGTGCTTGAATTAAAATGTGAAATAAATAGTGACTTGAGTCTCCCTTGTTTGTGTAGTGCGCCATTCGTAAGACGTCGAATGGTGCGTTAGCTCCATTCGTGCAAAATAACGGCGAGAAAGAATAAAAGTGTGACATCACAGGAGGGTGTTAAAAGAAAGTAAATTGACGAGTAAGCCGAATTTGACCGCCAAGTAAACGAAAAAGCAGAAGCATTAGCCAAAGAGCGAACAACCGTTTTAAATAAAAAAGATCTTATGAAAAAACTTGGCGAATAAGTCGGCCAAGTACGTAAACCACCCGCTTACCGAGAAATAAAACCGACTGCACCTCCATTTTAAAAAGCTTTATTTAAAAGATGGGAAACAACTTTAGTCATTTGGCAATTGTAGTCAATAAAGACAACTGGTTTTCAGCCGAGTTCCAAATTTAACACACGCGTATAAATTACCGAGAGTTAAAACTGATGAAGCGGCCAATCGTTGGGCGAGCAATCCGATATCATTTTACCAAATCAAATTGAATTTCGCGGTGTACTGCGCTACTACAGCATGCAGGGTAGGTTTCGAATTTGCTGTCTGATCGAGATCTGTATGTATCTGCTTTATTTAATTTCCACGTTTATTACACTGTACGAAAAATATTTTACGACTGCGTAATGCCCATTCCGAGTGACGACATTTTTGAAGCGTTGCACAACAATTACGATCATCGCAAATTTATAGACACTTTTATATTGCACAACCTAGACCCAAATATGTCTTATAAACAGATGAAGTGTCAAATGGACTAGGCACGGCTTACTATTACGATAACGGTTATGTACCGGTACCGGGTAAAAATTACGATGCATACGATTTACACGTAACAAACGGCAAATACGCAGGATCTACTTACGTGGGTTTTGGTTGGGCTAAACCGCCTAAAGGCTCCGGCCACGCGAGTACATATAGAGTAAATTGGATTCAGTAGTCGGATGCAGTTACTTCGGTCTAGTGAGATTTTATTCCTGAGAAATCAAGCCTGACAGACGTCGGCATAACAAAAGTAAATGAGTCTATTAAGGCATATGTATACGCGCATTTGGGTGCTCAGGCTCAGACAAAGACCAGCATTTTAGCCCTTGGCACCAGACTAGACGCCCAAAGGAAGTTTACAACAATGGTGGAGTCTTTGATAAATTCGGAGCCTGACTTGGAACAATCGATTCACCAATTTCAAGATTCATTACATTACGCCAAACGTCTTTAAATTCCGTAGTCGCGCCTGGTTTATATTTGGTGCCTTCGGATATGGATTTACGAATCAGAACATTTGAAGGCTGCAATAACCATTTGCAAATCGCGACCGTGGAAATGCAGGCGGGTTACTTACCGAGTTTAAACGCTGATGCCGTTTCAGAAATAACCGATTTTGACGAAAAAGTTGAAGAAAAAGAGCCCGATCCAAAAAGTTTACCAAATCCAAATGTAAAACTAATTTTAGCACCTATTCCAACTGTACAACCCATTTTAATGCCTAGTTCCGAAAAGACGCCGTTGGACGCGCATAATGAAGAAAAGTTATCGTTGACCGTCAAAACGATTGCGCTCACGGGAGTCGCGTTTATGTTGTATAATTTATTAACTTAGTAAAAAGGCAAAAAAAAACACCTAGTTTCTCAATTTAGAGAATTTTACTTGTTGAATTATTCGTCCAATTGATCTAATTTACCCTGGTTTAAAATCAGCGCAGCTTTAGTGGCCTGTAAAGATTTATTTAGCGCTTTCAATTCTCGAATTTAATTCTCGGTTTAATCCTTCCGTGTGTGTGATTGCACTTGTTTATCGTTTGTTACGTCTTCTACAAGTTCGCTCACCTGACAGTTCCGGGGTTTATCGTTTCTAGTTGAATCATTTCTAAACTCTGACCCGCTTGTTCAATTTCTCGGCCGTAATCTTCAAAGCCTAAAACATCTTAACGAATGGAGTGCCGGAATAACCAGCGGCTCTTTCTATCGTGTCAAGAGATACTAAAGTATCGGACTCGTTTTCCTCTTAAAAAGAACTTCCCTCGTGGTCCACCTTTCAGCACTTTTGAAGAATAAGCCCTGGTTTGGCCAATATTAAAAGAAAATCGTAATGCGTGGATTTAGGTACGTCCGTTCGGCCCATTTATGTAATACTCGTAAAAACTGTCTACTCTTGGCATAGTTAAAGATGCATGCGTGCTCAATTCCAACGTGCCAGTGTGGGGTCGACGGTCAATTTCGGCCTTACTGAGCCGCACGTGAAAGAAGTTATATCGAGTTGACTGCTAATTTCTACCGTTTCTAAAAAATCTTCAAAATCTTCATCGTCGTACGCTAAATTTGAGTCCCCTCCGTCTAATGGGGTATTTCTGCCGGGTCAAATTCGCCTTCTGCCATTTTTACTTTAAAATAAACAGGTGTTTATTTTTAAGCGGTTGGTAAACTCGTCGGCAATATTCCCTGCAATACTAACCATCCTTGCGTGGCCAATGCACCACACGACACTTCGGTTAATTTTAACGCGTCTTCGACAGATAATTCATTAAAATCGGGCGGTTTAATTTTAAACAGCTTATTTGATAATATGGCGTATCCCATGGAAAGTATGCTGACAACGGCGCGTGGTAAACCGTATTTGCGATACGTCTATAGATTTAGCGTTACTTATCCTTATTATAAAGCTTTTTTAAAATTTATTCCGTGTCTAAAATTTCAGACGCTTATTGCTTATTGTGTTCGGCCAGAATCCGAATTTTTTAAATCTATGACAACGGCTACATATCTTATTCTCCATATAATTTCAATATTACGTAAATACATTTTCTCATTTTTTTAATTGAATGCAATAATTTGCTGGAGGCTCAGTGTTTAAAGTGCCTTTTAATTATTTCCCTTTTTGAAATCTGGCACTATGTCTTTCTCGTCTAAACACTGGTCAAATGAATTTTTATCTTTACAATAGAACATGGCAATCCACGCCGTGTTTTTCCGAAAATCCTTCAATACCAAATTATAATTTTGGCTCAATAGCCAACACGTGTGATTAAATTGCCTACCGCTGAGAGCCATTCGACTTAGCGCGCAAGGGAGTGCTACCCTTTGATCGCTTTCGATACTTAATAAACTGATCTGCAGCGCAATTGTCAATGATAAACAGCGTATTTACCCCGTCAAAAAAGTTTGATTCAAGTCAATCGCCTCATTCAATTCTAAATTTTCTCGATCCAAATCGCATAAATATGCATTGTCATCAGTATAAATCCATAAACGGTCTAAATAAGTTTTATTTTTAAATAAAGTGGGGCAAATTATCAAAATCGCTTCAAATGTAAATTTATACCCGCTTCAAAAAAATCGAGCACCTACCGAGTTTTCCCGCTCCCAGTCTTACCTACGACTAAAGCACAGTGTGGATTTTTATACATTGTCCCCATTTATTTTAATTTAAAACCAATTTAATACACTAGACTCTTAATATTTCCGTCCTCCACCGTCAATTGCGCATCCAGTAAAAAAAAATAAAAAACACGTATATCATTAGAGGGCCGGTAGTTTCGGCCGTTCTTTCCATTTGTATTGATATGTCTCCACCTCCTCCAAGCGGCCATGAGACACCATGCTTTGAATTCTGAAGGCTTGGTCAGCCCAACCTCACGTAATCCCTCCGTGTCGTAATACGGCTCGGCAGAATCCCAATCAACTTGAACTTCACTTCTGTGAAGCTCGTTTAATTTTAGGATTTTCTGTTTATTTCTGGCTTGTTTTCGGGAGGGATACCGAGGTCTCAGCCATCATCCCATGAGAAAAAGGTTATATTGACCAGAAATGAACATTATATATATAACAGGTTTGCCCTTACCCAACGTATATTAATAAGCACTGTATGCTCAGTGCTTGTTGAAATGAACAGCATACCACATTACCCTCCTGCAGCGCCGCCATTGTTCGGCCGCGCATTTTGTGCACAAACAATGCGCGATGTCCTATCCCGTCTATATAATGGAGTTTTTACATTACGACAGGCCATAATCCGATCAGGACGCATCATGTTCAGGGTATTTCTTTCACAAAAAGCCCGAAATTGGGGATTTATTTTGGATAGAGGCAGGTGGCTATACTCAGAAATGAGCGCTTAGTTTTACTGCTATTTTGGGGGTATCTTCGTTCACGGCGAATAAATTTTTTTTCGTGGCAAACCCCTATAAAATTGAAACGAAAAGTGATCTTCTGGCCATAATCTTGAATTTCCAGTGAAAAAAACGGAGGCCAACCTCTTCACGAGAGTCAACAGGCGGCGCTATTTCGGTCCGATTTTGCACTGTTTTCTACGGGCGCGTTTTTGGTTTAGTGCAACCCTATGGGGGCCGAACATACGTGATACGCGCACTTTTAACTGCAGCTGGTTACCGGTCCCTATATTTAGGAACGGGGCCGTTAACCAGTCCACTACGACATGTACAGTATTGTGATTATACCTCGGGCGCGGGGCGGGCTGCTCATCGTATCGTACAATGCACCTACGGCCATGACAGCATAACCGGTCTGCGTGAATTTTCATTTAAAACCTTCCCTCGTTATCTGTCGGTCTGAAGCAAGGGTATTATTCTTCAGACTTCAGTGTGGGGCTTAAATTTCTCTCCCGTTCAAGTTACAAGGAATCGAAATGAGAACGTTCGAGAGGAAAAGATATAGGCCATGGCTTCCGTACTGTTGCAGGTCGAGGCCTTGTTTCATGTTCCTCTTTGTTATGCTCGTCCTGACGTGCAGTGTTCCCACATCTAGTCAAACTTACATGTACAATGGTACAGTGAGTGAAGGAGAGGGTGTGTTCAAACTGGAAGTACCTATACCTCCCCATAATGCGGTAAGTTTGAACAAAATTTAACTTGCCTAACACTATAAGTTAGCCAAAAATAGTTCAATAAAAGATGTATCGTGGGAGGTCCAGATTTCGAGGGGCCCTGTTTTCGTGACGTTACCTTCTGCATTAGGCCCCCTATGCCACACGACGTGAACAACTTTTGAGTGATGTAAACTTTCTGAAGTTTGACCCCACTGACTGAGAAGTGTGTATAAAGTTAAGTCTTAACTAGTGGTAAGTTGCACTCATAAATCCTATCTAGATTTTAGGTCAAGTTTACAAATTACAAGATACAAAAACATTAATTTCTACATTGCGGAGGAAATTAACATGGCTGTCAGGGCTGGGGGGACACAGCCTCCCCCCACTTTTTTGAGACACAAAAAAATAAAAGCATGATATTTACACAACATCTTTTCTAAGTTTGTTCAGAAAAGGCTAGTTTTCAAAATGTTTGGGAAGGCACCCTTTACACTGCCTTGCCTGTTTTGATCATCCACCATCTTTTCTCGTCTGGGACGTTGCATCAGATTACATCATGGTGCGTTCAAGTGGCTACTCCTGGTATTCAGATTCAGTATACGTGTACTCCCTGCATGGGCCCTGGGATAACGCGAGTACATGTAGTTCACTTAAACGCGGCAACCCCTGACTGGTATGTGGTAGCGCTGCAGCGTGCACTAGGGGTGTGTGTTCTTGTCCCGCCTGGTTGGTCTATGTAAGTGATGTTTGTTGGACGTCATCAGCAGAACGAAGCAGAGCACAGAAGCTCACGGTGGTACCCATGGTACCTTGTGCACACGAACATACACGTACACACGTTCATTCTTTCACAGTGCAATCAACGAAAAATATGGCAGAGCGAAAAGGTTTATCAGAATCGTTGTCGGACAGTGAAGTAGATCACGATTTTTCTGACGGATCGTATTCCAATGATAACAGAGACAAGGCTGGGCAGATATTGCCGTACACGTACGAACCAGAGGTTGAAAGCGACAATGACGAGCATGAAATTGCTGGTGTGGACTATGATGATGAAGGACGGCTCAACAACATCAGCTGGTAATTTTACTAAGCCTTTCGAAGATCACATTGATTTTAAAAACTTATTTTGCAAAACTTTAAGGAAACCAAGGAAGGTTTTTTTTCTGAAAACCGTTGAGGTAAAAAGAATTGTAATTGTATCAACAGTATGAGGCTTAGTTGTGAAAGTTTTACCAAGACGTTTTGCAGTGGGCTATTTGTGTCGGGAAAAGGCAGAGATACCACATGTAGGGTTGTTACTCAGGGGGTTCAGTCAGTGGTGCAGATGATCACGTTTGATATTTACATGTAGATGTGCCATGTTTTGTACATCATTATATGACGTGCGTGACACATCGTTATCATGTGCCCATATCCATTTTGCCAATGCAAGTCATAAGTATTTCTAACAAATTTCAGGGCATTGCACATATCCATTTTCTGCTCAATGTGAGAATTGGTTTCTTTGCAACATGAGGACGAAGTACATTTACTGAATAAAGTAGGCCAGATTGATTTTTTTGGGGGGGGGAGCAGGGGAGCAGTTTCTTCATAAAAATTCTTGCGTTTGAGGAAAAAATTCCTTATAAGACATTGAAGATAAGACCCCCTTGTGAATAAATCCTATGAGACTGTTCTGAAGTTATGTCTTCATTGAAAATGCGTGTCCTCGCTGCTCAAATTGACTTGACATGTACGTGTAATTGAATTCTGAAGGTTTTTTATTACTAAAGGGGAGACTGAGTAAACTTTAATATGGAGCTCTTTCCCTTTTTCATTTTGGCTACAGGTGTTCCTGCGGAGAGTATCAAATTATGCCAGCTGTTCGAGAATCCTTGTGCTGTAAGGAGATCAACCAGGTTGGTCAGAAAATGGATAACATTGAAGCGGATCTTAATTGCATCACAGAACATCCAGGATTCTACTCTGTTTGTCTAGATCAGTGGGTATTGGAAACTGTGTACTTCCAGTATCGCCAGCAGTATGGCCAAGGACGACACAATGCAACTGAAAACCAGTGAGTGCAAGTAACCCTATCTAGTTTATACAAGTCATTTTATGTGGCCTGCATCCCCTCAAAACAAATAAAATGCCTGATGCAAGTGATTTGGTTATTGTATTTGTGATTTGGCAAGTATTAATTGAATATTTCAATAAGATAAAAAATGTACATTTAAATTCTGCGCCAATAAACAATTAACATTATGTGCTATCTACCACTTTTTACAGGAAAAACAGACACACGGCGTATCGCCAGATGGTGCTGGTGCTTCCTAGAACGAAATGTCAGACTGCCACTTCCTTCCTGTGCAGTCCATAAAATCCGGGAAAAATACCCTTCAGATGAGTACAGAGGTTTTCAGGAGATATAACTTAGGACTTCTGAGTCACAAATGTACATGTTAACTCCATTGTTTATTACATTTCACAAATACACATTGTAACTGCTTTAACCATTGACGTTTGACAATCAGATGCCGCACCGATTGCTTAAGGACACTGGTTTTATTACACTGTGAGATGAAGCATCAAATGGTATCTACAACACCCTAATACCAGATCCTGCTTGATTTTAATAGGCTACATATGCTAGTCAAGACGTGTACAGTCAAAACAGTCTAACTGACCAACTTCGATCCAAGTCTATATCACAAGGAAGATTCAGTGTTAACTGTACATCCTCTTCACATTTGTGATTCTGAAATTCTTGCATTTTATTCACCATACATGTACATGTTATCTTTATTTGTGTACCACCATGTGCATGATGTTTTTAATTAAACACTTATCGGGTATCACATTCGTTGCTGTTGAACAATTATTGTGGTTCAATTATTCACTTTAATCAACTGTAACCCATGATTCACATTTCAAAATAGTCGGAACCAAATTTCATATTAGTTCAATTCCCTTTTGAATAAACTCTTGATCTTACACAATTCAGGATTGATATACAAAAGAGATTTAGCTTTATTGGAGGGAATGAACAAGCCAATCAATGTGAGAAATATGAAGTGAATCCAGAGAACACCAATTCAGATGGCCAAAAGTTAAAATAGGAGGTTTACAGAAAATGCAGCATCCTGTTAAGTCAGAATACATTTTGAGTTCAAGGGAAAAAAACGGCGCCAAAGTTCTAGATGTAGAGATGAGTTGCGACAAGTCATTCCAAGGTGGGAGAAAAGGAGTCCATCATGTTGTGTAGCTGGTTGACAAAAGTGGAGAGCAAAAGTTCAGCGGAAGAAATGTAACGCAAGATTGATGCTGGTGATTAATGCCACAGATGCCTTGGTGTACTTGTGCTGTGTCTGCAAGTCACAATAGCTTGGTGGCTGGGATGCCTTGGGACAGCTCTTCAGGTGGACTACAGAGACTCCCCTCCAGACCCTCTTTCAGAACATGCAGTTCACTAACTAAGATGGAGAGCATAGTGGTCCGTGCCACATTACTAATTTAAAAACGTTTACCAGGTCAGACCAACGCAACCGACTTTCTATGGGTTACATGCTTTGGTAGATGTACATCGTATACGGACCTCAAAATAAAATACCATCTTGCATTAAGTTAACATGTAAATGGAAAATACATCTGAGGCACTGACTTAGAACAAATCTTAAAACTAGACAAGATCACCCTAGGAATACATTTCTCAGTCCCACATGTCATGAGGTAGGAATCAGTTGGCGAAAACTCTTAATCGGACTTGTTATATATATAGGTATATGTGAAAACAAAGTCTAAAGCTTGACCAAGAGAAAATTATATCTCTAACTTCTGATGAATTCAACGCACATCAGAATATATCAAATATTCACGAAACCCTTTTCAATAAACCATAGTCATCGGGAAAAAAAAAACATTTCAAAAGCATCAGTCCAAACTGTAGGACTACAGTCAGACTGTCACTTACACCATGGATATGATGGGTGATAAGTCCTCAATTACACATATATTCAAAATCTGTTCATATTTCTCAATGCAGTGAAGGGCACAACTTATTCCCAGCCTCCACTAAGTTATAAGTCAAAGTAATTGACAAGTACACTCAAACCGCCTCAAATAATTTGCTAAACACATGTCTTAAGCTAAATGTAAAAGCAAAGCTTTCTGAGGAAACACCTCTTTTGGATCTAGTCTCAGAACATTACTGGCTAGTGGAAGAAATTACAAGATACCTGTGCCAAAACCTTCAACTTCATAAATTTGCTTAAACTTCTGAAAATATCCCAAAGTGCAGACTTCATAAAATCAATTGGTACGCTTCTTTTTACAATTTACAACAAGAGTCACTTTGAAAAAATGCAATGACTAAACCCCAGAATAAAATGAGTTAAATAGGGACTAAAACTTACCCAAGATAGAGAGCCAACACTTGTGAACATAAGGGAAAGACTCTGATTTTGAGGTCCTCCAGTCCAAAGAAAAATAGTGCAGAGCACAGACAAAATTTGGCAGGTATGTGGTCAGCATGATGGCAAAGTTTAGAATGCCAGGCTTGCCAAAAATCTGAGGCAAACTGCCACCCAGAACATGCCCTTGCCACAGCTCAGGCTGTCATTGGACAACTTAAAAAATATCACACATGACTCCAGTACTGATTGGTCATTTAGTATCTAGGCAGATGAGCACTCAGCAGAAGTTTACGGCTTTCACAGCTTGGGTAAGGTATGAACAACAACTAGGGATTCATTCATTCATTCATTCAAATTGGTTTATTAATAATCATGCCTCGCAGCGTCAGCTGAATTGAACATGATTTACAAAGTTTAAAACATCACAAACTATAAACAATTAAACATTATAAAAAAAAAAATAAAAAAAAGAACAAAAAACCAAATTACAGAGAGAA